GTAGCTCGGTTATGACCACTTTGTCATCCATGGGGCTGAGGGCTTTGCACTGGGGTTTTATGTCTCCTCGTATGGCTGGTGAGACCTATGTGAGCCCGGAATGTTCGGCCGCACACTAGGCAGGCTATTCCAGCTGGAGCTAGTGTCATAGGCCTTGCTTTTCTTCTCTGGCGTTTTTTCTTCTGCCAGCTTTGTTCTATTTTCCTCAGCAACCTGTGCGCCTGTTTTCACAGCGCGACGTCATGATGCTCTGTCATGTGCCTCTGTCTCCCAGGTGGATGGGTCTATGCTGAACGCCTTCAGAGAGGCTTTGAGGGTGTCCCTGAAACGTTTTCTTTGACCACTTTTAGAGCGCTTTCCTTCGCTTAGTTTGCCATACAAGAGTCGTTTAGGGATGCGGTGGTCTTCCATTCTGCATACGTGTCCTGCCGATCGCAGCTGGGACTGCATCAGGGTGTGTGGATGCTTTGCAGACCCGCTCTTTGAAGGACTTCAGTATCTGGTATTTTGTCTTGCCATTTGACATTCAGTATTTTTCACAGACATGTCCTGTGGAAGTGATTCAGTTTCTTTGCATTTTAACTGTACACTATCCATGTTTCTGAGGCATAGAGCAATGTAGAGGAGGATGACGGCTCGATAGACCCCTAGTTTTGTCTTTGTGGTGATACCACTTTAAAGGAATGGGTTGTCAGACAGGAAAACCTATGATTTAGCATATTTTAAGTCACAGATCAACATGCATGACTAGATTGACACGTGAAATGCGTAGGACCTAATTATAAGAAACGTCTGTAATCTATAAGTAATACCAAAAAGTTTGAAACTCATTAAGGCTGCTATTGTAGTGTTTATAGTTTTCAGACTACATACTTGACGATCTATAAATAGAATACATTATGTAAGCCTACGAAAGCATACATCCAGTTTTCAATGCGTTATCAAACTTTATATATTTTGAATAGAATTAAGTTTACACCTATGATAAAACACATGGGCGTAGCCGAGAGAGGTGGAATTCAAACCATCACTGGCCTCAGATCTCATTGTCTGAAAGGGAAACTTTACTTACTTCCCCAGTGCAGCCAACGTAAGCAAACTACTGTCACCAAATTTCATGAGCGTAGCCAAAAGTGGTTTTGTGGTTCCCCCCCCCCCCCCCCCCCCATCCCTTCCAATACAAAAGTAAAGCATTTTACCATTTTCTACCAGTCGCTGGACTCCAGTGAAATGATTTAGTTTTTGATTTTTTAGCGGAAGAGTAGCAGGCTAATTGCACTATGATACCTCAAATATGCATTTTAGAGCTTAAAATAACGGAAATAAAGCTTGGGTCCGGGGCGAACCACTGGATGAGCTTACGGCGCTCTCCCAGACTTCCTAGCTGTATCTGTCCCTTGGCGGTGTGTACTACCTTTCACTAATTATAGAAAGAGAGTATTCTAGAGTAGAAAAAAACGTTTAAAAGAATGAAAGATAAGAATGTATTGAAGATTAACTACATATACACACTCTGATATATATATATATATATATATATATATATATATATATATATATATATATATATATATATATATATATATATATATATATATTGCGGAGGTGGTTTAACCCCCCCCCCCCCTCGAAAATATATGACATGCCATTTGTGGGCCGGTTTATATGGTAATGCCCGGGCCGATTTTGATACCCAGTCCGCCCCTGCCCTTAGCTAAATTTGTAGTACTATTTGTTAATTAAAAATTGCAATGATTACGCATTATTTTCTTTGTCCTGGTGCTTGACATCGTTCCTGGAATACAAGTATATTAATGTCATGTTGAAGGTTTTTTTTACCACTGACACTTTCATCACTGATGACAATCAGATAGTCTTGAACGGTTAGGTGTTTTTGTAGCTTTCATTATGGAAAAGAACTGCTCACACAGATCAGTGCTTGCAAATTTCCGCTATTCAACATAACGTTCAGGTAAATAACTAAAATTTTGTCACAGCCAAACCAATTTCAACAAATAATCTGACTCCTCTTCTATCATTCTAGTTGCACTGCACATTATCAGCAGCATTTTCAGGAGCAAATGAGAATGGAGATACAAACAAAGAAAATTTTTGCTTGTATGAAACGAAGTCACGAAAACGGACATTGAGAGCATATACTAACGATTCCAGATGAAGGAGTGTCATATATCAGTTTTAGAACCCCTGTAATATTTGGTGACTAGTAGTCACTGAACTATTCCATGCAGTTAGCACGAGATTTTTCTTGGTCGGGGACTGACCACGAGGTGGACACCACAATTAATCTGGGACTCTTGTAGAGAGAGGAGTGTTATGGATATCTTTGACAGTAGAGTAATGTATGAATATTGAAGTTATCATAATTGATCTGTATGCTGTTTTTATTCGATTGGATTATAATTGATGATGGCTGAAGTCGCCAATATCTTTTGTGAATTATATTTTATGTAATAAAATCCATGTCTGCTAACCTAGAGTCTATTAGTAATTCTAAATGTTGTGGTCGGAGAGTTCAGTATGTTAGTGTTCTCACGCACCTGCAAATCTAGTGCGTGTGAGAAAGTATTTAGTTAAGAAGAACATTATAGTAGTACCAGAACAGGTAACTACAACACAGAGACATTCGCGTCATCAGGCCTATAATAAAAACCAGGCCGAGACAAGGAGATGTTTACTAAATGTTGTAGCCGTATTTATTCTTTTTAATTAATTCCTGACACGTTGAGAAGTGAACAAAATTTTCTCCTGATATTTGGTTTATCCACTGTCGTAATTTTGCTTTAAAGCACCTCACATCACCACACGCAGTTGTGATCATTTTGTCTTTACTTTGAAGCTTCAAATTCAAGTCTTGCAGGTGACCAGTAAGATCAAATGCTAATGCCAAATCCTGAACCCATTCGTCAGTTTGGAAATGTTCAACAGGTTCACCTTTCATTTTCAATTTCTTCACGCAGTGCAAAAAATTTCTTCAATACTTTATGATATGAGAGCCAACGGAATTCTGTGTAGTAAGGAACATCATCAAATTCGTGTCCAATGTCATCCAGAAACATTGAAAATTGGCGAGGATTTAAACCACGGGCACACATAAAATTGAGAGCGACTGAAAATGATCTTAAGGTATGTTGGAACTGTAATTGCTTTGCGCAGAATGTTTCTTGGTGAATGATGCACTAAAAAATTATCAAATTTAAAATTAGCAACAGTCTTTCTTATTTTTGAAAGTAGCTTTGCATCAAAACCATTTCATTTCATGGTTGGTGCGCCATCCGTTGTTAGACTAGCTAGCTTTACCAAAGATAAATTGTAATGCAATACCTCCTGTTATTTCTCAAAACACCCTCCATTATTGTGGTGTTAAGCATAGCACATAACGCAAGTAGCTCCTCATGTATCTCAAAATTCCTATCACAGACCATTATGAAAATAACCGACTGTGCTACACCTGTTACAGTTGACTCATGGAGAGCCAATGAAAATATTCAAAATTAACTATGTCATTAATTGTTTACAAGCTGACTGACATGTCTTTTATTCTATCAGCCACAGCGTTCCTAGTTAACACTATTTCTTTGAATGTTTTCACCTTTTCTGGACACACTCCTTCATAAAATTACATTCACTAAATGATTTGCTATGGCTAGCAATAAGTTGGACAATATGTAGCTTGTTTTCACTGCAGTCTCACTATCGTTGCCAGTTAACACTGATGTTTTCTGCAGAGCCATATGGTCACATTACGTATTCAAAGCTAGTTCGGTTGGGATTGATTTTGGCGTTAAAGTCTCCCATCAGTAGAATTAGGTCATGAGTGGGTGTTTCATCAAGTGTGGTTTGAAGTTGATTATAGAAATTATCTTTGATGGTATCTTCTGCATCCTCTGTAGGGGAATATTCTTGGATGGTAGTGATATTGATTTGGTTTGTTTGGAGTCGAGCTTTAATGATGCGGTCGCTGACTGGCTTCCAAGCAATTAGTGCTGAAGCTGCTATTTTAGACATGATGATTCCTACTCCACCAATGTGTTCCTTATCATGTTCTGAATATATTATTGTCTTGCCATCATTGATTATTTGTCCACTTGATGTCCACCGCATCTCGCAGATCCCAAGGATGTCCAGCCGGTAAGAGTCAAACTCTCTTAAAAGTTGGGCCAGTTTACCGCATTGGTTCAGTGTTCTTACATTCCATGTGCCTATAAGAGTCGGTTTCTTTGCGTTGAAGGGCTTGCCATGTATCGGGCATTGGACGCCCAGTTGGGTTTGATCCAACACCGCCATCGGGGGTTGGCCGCCCTCGCCGCATGTATAGTTTTCTTTATGTGTCAAGATTGTCGTTTCTGTAGCAATTGTGGTTTTACAGGGTGGGGTCGCTAGCCCCACGCCAAATTCGCAGATGGCGGAGTTAAAACTGAAGAACTAAAGACTAAATGTGGCGCAACAAAAATGGCTGAGACGGATTTTAGGAGTCAGTTACACAGATCGGGTCTCAAACAAGGAAATTCTATGCCGAACTGGGAGTCAGACACTTAGTGAGGTTGTGACAGAGCTTCCCATGAGGCATTTCTACGACAAAATGAACTACGCACACCAAGAGTTGCGATGACATGGAAGCCAATACGAGGAAAGCGCAAACAGGGACGTCCTCGTATTACTTGGTGCCACACCTTCATGGAGGACCTCAGAACTGTGGACAGCAGGTAGGAGGAGGCTTCAGACATTGCCAATGACAGATCTCTATGGAGACAGCTTTCAGCCCAATGCCCCAAACGGCGCGGGAGTAAGAAGTCTAAGTAAGGAGGATATAACAATGCATTCAACTAAAAACTACTTTAGATCAAACCACCTCCTTTTTTTGGAGATTAACTTATTTGAAGTTCATAGTTCAGATAAGAAAATGCCTGGTGTAATGACATCATTCATTCATGTATTTTTCAACATCATTATATAACCAAAAAGACAAACAATAACAGGTATTGTAAGCTCTCAAATATATTTTATTTTTTCAAGAACATTGCAATCAACATTTCACCTTCCCACAAAAAATAGTGTACAGAACAGCAAACCAAAAAAAAAAAAAAAGATGATATTATATGCCCCTGAAACAGAGCAACGATTGCTTTAGTACATATAAAGTTTAAGCATTATGTACAAATAGTTAAACTTTGGAAGATTTGTTAGCAAAGTATTTTCTATTATATGCAATTAATTTGACTACCAGGTACATATACATATCAGGTAATCTGCGGTAATCTGTTCAAATGTGGATATAGTTTTGCAAAACAATAGTACATTTAACTTTGTCTACCTTTTTCTTTAGAGGACTAAGTGTATTCTTAAAACTATTTTTTCGATGTATTTATTTCAATAAATTGATGAAAACAAAAATTGTATACAGTATGAAAGATGCAAGTTTGTGTCTGATGTAATAGGTTCACCTAACACAAAAAGGCCACAATCAGGTTTGTGTGTAAGATTCTCTTCAAAACCTTTTTTATTTTTTCTAGGCTATTAGAAAAGATGGATGATCTGTAAGTAAAGTTAAAGACAAGAATTTATAACAAATATACAACCAGCGTGCATTAAAAAAAATGCTCATAATAATTTGATAAATACAAGTGCTGTTCACACAAAAGAAAAATCCAAAATCTATACGTAATATACTTTGGTATTACATGTATTGTTAAAAAATAAATATTTGTTCCCCTTTAGTCAAAATAGGTGGACTAAATGTATACATGATCTAAGTTGAGACAAACTAGATATTTTTCACTACAATTTTCACTGGAATCAGAGTGTCATCATTTTCAAGAGATCACAAAATCATCAATACTTTATTAAAAATGCTCAAACTCACACAAGAAGTCAATTTGATCTCCCAAAAAGTGACCAACTTGAACAATTAATAATTCTTGTAACAAAACAAAATATGAAAACAAAAATGAACAATTCTAAAACAAAATATTTCAAATTAAATCATGAATAACAGTGAAATAAAAGTTATCTTTTCTTCACCTTTTAATATGTTGAATGCTTTTCAATAGATTACACAAGAATACAAAATATATAAATATGAACACTGAGCATAAAATATATCAATATAAATATTTTTTTAAGCAGTTAACTTCATGGTAATTTCAATGCTTTTTGACCATCATGGGAAAATGTATCAAATGTTTGTAGAGAAAGTATTTCCTGCCTCAAACTTTTAATACACACAGAGGCAAGCAATTTGAAATATGGTTCCACCAAATTATCACAATGGTAACTCATTCTGGAAAGACAGAATTTGATACATGGAAAAAGAACAAAAGAAACAAAAAATATATTTAAAGCTACAAGCATAAGCCCAGTAATTTTAATATACTAGAATGCAGTAATTGATGGACATGTGAAGAACACATCTATACAGATAGGCTTTGAATGTATAATTATGATATTTACACAAAAATATTAACTGCTTAAATTTGATAATGACCATATCCAAATTGTACAGAAGACAAAAAAAAAAGATTAAAATGTTGAACTAACAATAACAAGTACTACAAAACAAGTGAAGTTTTTACATTAGGTCATAGCATTTGTCTCAGAGAATCATCTGATTAATATGTACAAGGTTAGTTTAGAGATGATTTTATGGGTTTTAATAAATCTGACATCATAAATCAATTACAAACACAATAAATCCAACAGTTCATATATCACAATAATAGACAGCTTTGCTGCTTCTATAGCATTGACTCTTTTTTTCAACATCCTCAGAACTGTTGATTAAATAAAATAAGTTTAATCTGAAAAGTTTTTCAGAAACATAATTTGTTTTATCTGTTTTGGTTGACAAAATGAAAATTGTAACAAAATCATAAGCTGAAGATTTATTTACAATAAAAATATTTACAATGTACTTTTAACTGTCATTATTTTATTTTGTAAATTTGAATAATAATCTGTAATTCAAAACAATCAATTTGATCGTGTTTATTGCCATTGCAAAGTAATCAGGTCACTTATTATAGGGGGGGATATGTAAAATATATTTGAAGTCTTTTAAAACACTCTTCAAACCTTCAATTCCTAAAATATTGTTCTTACGGTCACAATATGAACTCTCTAAAGTGTAAATAAATAAAACAATTATAACATAAGGCAACCTAATCACAATATATCTAAGCCTAAATCTCCCCCCCCCCCCCAACCAAAAAAAAATAAAAAATTCAGTAAGACATCTGATTTTTATAAACAGAGTTCATGAGCATTTTGTAAAGTGAAACAAGGACAGTTTTAATGTTGAAAAGTTACAAGACAAAATCATCATGTTTCTTTTTTACTATTCATTGGTGGGATACACATGATAAAATTTGTCATGAAAATGTAAGTCTACTTCTGTTTTAAAAAATTGTTTTATCAACAAGAGAGTTACTTTAATTCTGATGTCTCAGAATAAAAGATTAATCGAGATGAAAGGTGAGAAAAAGGCAGAGTCAATCTAACTAGGTGTTTAGCATGTAAACAAGGTACAATCAAGTAAGTTAAATACTGCAATAGACAGTGGTATTTATAACACATAGTCTTCTAAAGAGTGCTTACATATAATAACTCACATATCTTCATTATGATATTATTCTAAAAAACTCTACCTAAACAACTGTATTTTATATAATTAATGCAAAGGTATGTGAAAACAACCAAAAAACAAAACAAAGTAAAAGGAACTTTAAGTCATTGCAAGTTTGCCTCAAACACTTATTACAACATACATGTAATACAATGCAAATAAAATTTGAAAACGAGATAGAAGAAAGCTATATTTGAGAAATAATTGTTCTCCTTTAGTACTTAAACTTTATATAAACCTTAAAAAACAGATATAAATAAACCAAATATCCAATTACAGCTCCCCCACTTTCTTCAACAATGAGCCAACAAGGATTCTTTTTTTTTTTTCACAGATAGTTGAAATGGTTTTGAGAACCTGAAGTTCTTGAATACCGTAATGGTAATGTTAAAAAAAAAAAAGGAATGCAGACTGGTAATAAAATAAATAAAAAATCATTTTGTTTTAGATTATGAAAAATGAAAAAATGTAAAACATGCACATAAAAACATACACATGATGTGGCTGAGTTCTAAGCTGTGGTTAGTGTCTACCACAATGATAGTTAATCTCTTATTGCAGTAACTGTACTGACCTTGAATGGAGGTCTGAAAGGGAGATACATTTGTATCTCTGAAGAAATTATTGCATTTAACTTCATTTATTTCGATAATAGGAATGTATGACTCTATCTCTAATTGTTGCTGAATGGTCAATCATTCAGCTGCTTACATAAACTAAAAAACAAACCACATGAATATTTAGTGAAAATTTAAATGTAATATTGAAAGAAAAAAAAAATCTGGCATTATTTCATTTTTCTATACTCAAAGTAACATTAAAATGGATCTTTGTTCTTGAGGGATAGAGTGTGGCGGGTAACTAGAACAAACAAAAATAGTTGAAGTAACTTACAAGGGTGAAGTATTTAAATACAAAAAAAGGTGCACTTTTTTTTCTGTAGCTCTGCTTTACAAATTGCAAACAAAGATTACAAGTTACAAAATTCTTGCAAAATACAACATAATATTATCATATTACAGTATTATACCCGACCCAAAAAAGAAACAATCATTTAATCAATTCAGAACATTTTTTTGAAACGACAAATTCTAAAAAAAGACTATCTTTTATCAGTCCACATCTGCTATTGGCCAAAGTGTTTCAAATTTTAGCCCTTTGGAGGATTAAATTAAATTGATGAAAATAGTAGGTAACACTTTAATAGTTACTTAATAGGAAAAGAGGAATTATTGTTTTCATCAAAACTCTAATTTGGCATATTGAAAATTCCATTTCCAAAAACATAGATCACTGCTTTTGGTATGCCTTGGCATGAACTGAATCATATATAGGACCTAGACTTCTCTGACAATATAAAAGTTTTGGAGGCTTCAAATAATACATGACGTAACAGAGAACCTTTCAACGACTCTAGCTCAAACAATTAATTAGTATGAGAAGATAATTAGCCTCATCAATTCAACTGTTGTCAACAGCAACCCACACATGCAAGAAGTGGAAAACATCTGTAAAGGTCAAAGGAAGGCCTAACATGTAATGTTGGCTTAGACAAATCCTAAGAGTGGCATACTTAGATCATATCACAAACAGAGAAATTCTTTGCCAAATGAGCGTTCGCATTCTTGGTAAAATTGTAACAGAATGTCAAATGAAATTCATAGACTTGTCCTAAGACAAGGTAAAGCATGTTCACTGAAGAAGCATTAACATGGAGGTCAAAATGAAGAAAATGAAAACAGGCCGACTCCTTATAACAAGTAGTTGCACCTTCATGGTAGATTTTTAAACACTAGACATGGGATGGAATGAGGCAGAGGACAATGCTAGCAAGTAATCTGCTGCCCAATGTGCCAAATGTTGTGGGAAATCTATGTTTAGTCAAAATCACTATAAAAAAAACATGCCTTTTACCCAAAACTCCATTCATTTCTGAGGAAATTTACACAATTATATGCTAACAGTTTATGCTAAAACATCACTATCTATAGATGATGATGATTAAATAAAATACTTTTAAAAAAATCAAATACCATTATTAACAAATTTCAAAGCAGGAGCAAACAAACATCTCTGACTATTGATAAGAGCATCACAAAATATATTCTCTGTGTCTGAGGGGGACACTAATTTAACTGGCATGGACATAAGGCAAATATTGCCAATCTGTTTCTAAATTGTATTGTACAATCTATTGGTTACTAAAGTGAAAAATTACAAATGTAGTTCCCACAATGAAGTATTTTGAGTTGACAAAATGTTATGGTTTCAAAATCCCAATTTCCCCAGCAGATTTAATGTTAACAGCTAGAAAACAAAAGATATAAATCAAAATCAACATCTTCTTTGCATATTAGCACTGATACTTTGAAGCCTTTATACCATGCACATGAAATGTTACTCAATGTTGGTGAAAGCAAATAAGCATCATTGAATATTTGAAGGGATAAAGTCAATCATATTTTTTGGTTCAGATCCTAACCTTCACTATATAGATGTTCTTCTCAGGCATCTAGCCATAGTCACTTGTCATGAGTCCTTATCGTCATCAGAACGCTTCTCATGACGAAACTGCAAATTACCATGAATAAACAAACTGCCATTGAGTGTTCCATTTTTGGGTTTCATGGGCTTGTATTGAAGCTCTTTGTGCTTTGGCTGCTTGGTGTATTCCTTAAGTTCCAGTCCTTGGCGGCTGAATACATCAGTTTCCTCCTGCATGTCATCTAAAAGTCCTGTTAAAGTAACAAGCATATTGTATAATATCATAATATAATTGGCCAACACAATGACTTAGTAAAAAAATAGTTTTAGTTACTATTAAGAAAATATAATCAGAATGAAATAACTTAATCACTATTTAGACACCTGTCTTTGATAGGACTCATGCACAAGTTAAATATTTAAAATATTGCAAGAACAAAACAACTTGTGGTAAAATAAAAGTGTTGTTACGTTATCTCAAATGCTATAGAAATGACAGAATGTAAGGATAAGGTAGATGCTTTGACTTCTTAATTCAACAAAGACACACATAAACCAAAAAAACAACAACAACAGAGTATGAGGGGATTAGATACATTGATTCCAAAAATGTTCGTTCAAAAATTTAAATATAAACTGTTTATAAACAAAGGCAACTAATAGTCATTTGTTTTGACCCTTTACTTTTATATAAATAAACTGCCTGTGGGTCTTAATTCGCGTATCACTGTCAATATAGTCATTAAGAGTGACAATTAACCGAAATAATAATGCTACAAGTAAAGCAAATGCGGAATGCATAAATGTAAAAATAGTATGAATGGAGTTATCAAAATAGCAAATGGAACTTAAATTCATTTTTTCAAATAAAAACATTTGCTTCTAGGCCTACATATTTAATACTACATACTTAATTTTGTATGTTCATGTGTTAAAGTATAAAGTAGAACTTGAGTTAGACATAGATCTAGATCTAGACCAATCTTGGATATAGTTCATTCTGAGTGTGCATGAAGGCTTCACTGCGCATAAGTGACCTTTTTTATTACATTACGCGATTCATGAATGAAACTATTAGAATATATCTCAACATGGCTTCGCAGCTTTAGTGAACAAATGTAGGGAAAATGTTTTAGAAAAACAAATTAGAATATTAATTTGATTAAAATATGAAATGAATGGACTATAATTAGTATGTTCATGTTTTAAAGTATAAAACTATATTTGCGAAGAGAAGTTCTATCATCTTAGAGTTGAATTAGAGTTTTAGACCTAGGAATAGAGAGATGTGTAACCTTTCGGGTAATGTCTAATGAAAGAATGTATGTCAGGAATTCTAAATTCACAGATAAAAGGAACGGTTTTATGTAAAAATGCTTTTGAAACACAAATTTGAAGCTTAATTTTATTAAATAATGAAATCAATAGACTATATTTTGTATTTTTATGTGTCAAAGTAAAAAACTATCTGCGCAAAGTGTAGTTCT